ATTTATATAGCTCTATTTTTTCAAATTGCAGGTAAAAAGATTATATCACAGACATTTTATGTAATGTTTAGATTGTATTACAATAATATATTTCTTCTTCTTTCTGCTTAATCTCTTATCAAATTGCACTTCCAATTTTCTATTTAATCCCTCATGAAATTTCAGTTAAAAAGATTATATTTATATTTTCTCTACTTTCTAATTAGTATTTACCAAAAAGATATATATTCTAGATATATTTTTAGTATTATTTTATATTACTAAGAGATTTTTCAAGTAATTGTCTGCTGTAATATACTCGTATTGTATGTTTCTATCCAATGTTGTCAGATGTTACCATTCGCCAAATATGTCACCGATTTTAAAATGTCTACTTGTGTTTGAGATTACGGATAGTGTCAGTCGATCGACATTTTAATAGACTTTAGTAGTGGACATTATGACGAATCCGACATTTTTAATAGACATTCGAGAATAGGGCCCCTGAAGCGTCAAATCTCCTCAACATTTTACAATATATATTTGAAAACAATCTAACTTCAGCTCTACCAAATATTACCATTTCGTTAAGAATCATGCTTACTTTACCTGTATCTGTAGCTTCTGGTGACAGATCCTTTTTAAAAATTAAAAATAATTAAAAATTATTTGAGGTCTACCATGTCGCAAGAAAGATTATCGGGTTTGGCAATATTACCTATAGAGTAAGAAATCCTCGATAAAATTGCTTTTGACAATATTATAAAAGAATTTGCAGCAGCCAAATCCAGAAAAAAACCTATTTAATTTTTGGATAATTGAATGTTTTATTTGTTTACTGGTTGGTTTGTTTTTTCGTTTGTAAGAATAAAATATTGGTTTTTGAAATATCTGTTGTTTCATTACAAAATTTAAATAAAATGTGGTTTTCAATTCGCTCAAATGTTGAACGACTACAAGAATATTACAGCAAACCAGGAAATTTAAAAAAACATATGTAACAGCTTAAAGTTGTTATTCTTCAAAATATTATTTATATAAGTACTGCATATAACTATACCTTGCGGATCACTGAAAACAGTCCCATCTAAACTCATTTCACCTGGGATTCTCGAAGATTTGTTTTTTGAATGTATATAAGACCAAAATTTTTCAGAGTTATTTGAAATATTTTTTTGAACATCTTCCAAATAATTATCAGAGGATATTTTACTTTTCTGTTCAATTAGCTAAGCCGTTTAAATTCGAGAAAATCTACATGTAGACCTATTTTTTTACACTTTCGATGATATCTTCCTTTTAGTTTTATATGTTGAATAATGTCTGAATCCAACCGTATTGGATATTTAGTTTAATATCTGAACTCGTCTGTGGTAATGGTCACTTTTCTATCGAATTAAAGTTTTCAAGTTTTTATAAAATATTAACTTTCCCATGTGTACTTACCTATTTCATTAAAAAGTTCTACTAAATCTGGAAAAAATATTTTCCCTTCAGCGTAAAAAAAACTCGTACGTTTCGCCTGCGTGTAACATAAACAGGCTTATTTTTCTAAAAACTAATCTGAATGTGGCAAAACTCGAAACTTTTCGGTATGTTTTATTTATTTAAAATTTTCATCAACGAACTCTACCAAACCAAAACACACATTACGTATTGTTCAAATGCTCGTCGACCAACATAATAAATCAAACGTCAAAAAGGACAAAGTTTTGTTCATATTGAGAGTTTTTAGGTGTGTTTATACTTATGTACGTACATGACTACAGAGAATGGAACTTATAATTGAATCGGTTATTTGTAAAAGGGAATTTGACCAAAAATAGCATTTTACAGGAAAAATAAAAAGCTAATTTACCAAATCCACATTTTATTTTTAGTAATATAGTTTTTTGATCTATTAGTAAGTACTTTGTAATAATGATATTTTTGTAAGCTTCAAACATAAACGATCATTTTTTCATTGGTTTTCTTCTCCTAAAAATATATTCAGACAACTAAATGGAATACAATTACTGTTAATTTCTATATGAGCGGTTTATTATATATTAAAAAAAGTGCTTTTTAATGGCAAAATAAAATTTTAAAAATCTTCAGGACGTTCCTGTAAATCTGCTACTGTCCACTAAATCACATAGTTCTAAAACTCGATTTTGTCATTCCATATGTAACCTACCAAATGAACTCGGTGATTCCACCAAAATTTTAAACTTAAAAAAAAAATTATTAAAGTATTAACTACAATTAAAAATGTTGTCTACTACGGTTACACAAGTTTCGGCTGTTCCGGTGTCAACCTTCGGGCCTTCGACGTCGTTCAGACGGCAGCTAGGGGGTGGATAGCTTACAAGAATTCCGGAAATAGTAGACAAATGAGTAGGCGCCAACTGGGTCTATATAGTGGCCAAACTATGATCCTATTTCCCCAAAAACCCAGTAAATGAGGAAAGAAATAAAAGACAAACCTCAAATTATGTTCCTTTATAAAGTAAAAAAAAAAGGAAAAATATTTACTAAATATATCAACTTTAAATTTCAACAATTTATTCTGAGTTCGATAAACTACTAAAACTAATTAATTACCTAATGGCTTTAGATAGTCCAAAAAAAAAAATTAAAGGGAAAGTTTACACCATATATGTATATGCATAACCCAAAATAAATTACTAAATGTATCAAAATAGGACACGGTTCGTGGTTCGTCGTTAGCTTGGTACCAGGCATGACGCTTGCGCAAAATATTAATTTCCACCTTACATAAAATATAAAATAATAGTTAACTCAAATCTTGTGCATAACCGCACCTATATTACATCATATATTATAAACTAAACAGTAAACTTATAATCCTTATAAGCTTATAACCCTCTCCAAATTGGAAGGCGATATCTGCTTAACTTTTAGTTAAGACCAAACTACCCAAAAGAAAATTATTAAACCATGAAATTTTATAATTAAATATAATTCATACAACTAAATAAAAATAAAATAAACACATAAAGGACTTTAGACACACAGGTTATTTACTTAAACTCCCAGGTTGGAAGAGGTTACCTAATCTCTGCCCCCACACGGGTCTTCTGAGATCGCTGAACTTGATCGTTAAGTCTGGTCCATTTAATAATGAATAAATTGAAAAAGTAAAATTATGACAGTAGCCCTTAATAACTGAAGAATTACAACTTAAACGTGGAAGCAGTCCAAGTGTTCTGCGACCCGAAGGATTACTACATTAGCATTAAGTGCTTAAATTAAGAAAAAGTTTGAAATATTAATCAATTAACCGATGTAATATTTGATAATATATAAGTTATGAGTGAAAGAACCCTAGAACATTCTGTGCTCAAAAGTATAAATAATGTTGAGAATACCTTGACATCATTCGGTTGAAAGTGGATGTATAGTTTAACAATGCACACATGAAACCTTCAATATAACGTATAAAAAAAAAAACCTGATAGTAGGGTGTCTTCTTTCACAGCATTCCCATCTTCCTATCCAGAACGAGAATTATCCTTGTAAATCTAGCTACAAGTAAGCTAGGCGGCTAGCATACCAATGTTCTGTGTTCCCTCGATGAGTCCACGATGAAACCGTTGAACTCCAGACGATATAACCCTCTGTGTACAACTGTTGAAATCCTGAGTCGCTACCCCCTGGGTAAAAATTGTTGTCGAATCCTGGGTTAACAATCCCCTGGGTGAAACTGTCGTCGAATCCTGGGCTAACAACCCCCTGGGTGAAACCCTTTTTCGTAAAGGGTTAACTTAGTAGCCTTCCAAGGATGAGAAACACGTGAGATTATCCACAGCACAACAATATTCCACACTCCAAATGCTGTGAACTTCCAATTATTGCGTTAAAATCCTATACTAGATATGGGCTGGACCAATGACCATAGGAATTTACCAATACACTAAAATTTCTCTCAAAATACGAAATGTCCATTTACCCACAATTAACCATGAAGTAGAATCTAAAATCCCCTTTAATTAGGTAAGCCGATGGGGCTAAATATTAACAAAATTCTACTTCGACGCAAAATTCGTCCTTCTCGTGATTCAATACCCACTGACTAAAAAAATACGTCAGCCGTCCAAAATGGCCGAAATCCCTTTCCGATAAATGTCAAGCCAAGTGGGTTCAGATATTCATCCTCAAGAATTCCCCACTATATAACTTAAGAGACCATTTACGAAAGGTACCCTAAAAACTATATTTATATACAGTATAACTACATTTGGGAAACTGTTCCCGACAAAAATTAATACAACAGCGATCGCAAAAAAAATCCCTCACGACTTAAAATCGCTCATTGTGAAACTACCTTACCTCGGGTTCTGAGCCCGATATTGGAACGTCCTACAAACATGACACTTGCCGGTGTTCTGTCGTCAAATGACGTTTATGTCATTCACTGTCACAATTAAAAAATATTAACCTAATAACAAAAATAAGCAATGAAATTCTTAAAGAACGATATCGTAAATAATTAATTACCCAAAGGTGAGACTATAATACATAATATATATAAATTTACAACGAAACTTGGTCTATTTTTAGGAGGACTGCCATCCTTTTACTTAGTGGTGAGATGAAATAAATTGTAATAATGATATCCGAAAGTTAGAATACAGGTGAAATTAGTTAATGACAAAAATATTAGTGATATCATCAATACGATTTTACCCTTTTTTTTCGTATGATTAACCAGGTAAGCCAAAACAATTTTATTAATTCGTGGGGCCAAAAATGAACGTTATATATTGCACTTTATGTTATAGTATTTCTTAACTATTTGTGTACTGATGGGCAAAGCCACATTTGAAATAATTTTTCTGCTATAGCTTGGTGTCTTTAGCGATTAGACAGGCGGACTGTCGATATCCCCTCCAACGACTCCCACTTTAAATTATGTCTGAATAGACATTAGTGATATTCTGTAGTAGTATGTGTACAGTGTTCGAGCACATGGTTGATGGTGGTTGGATATTTATTGGGTTTTGGTGATTTCTAATGAAATGGCAGGTGAGATTTTATATAGACATGTATACGTAGCACATATTTGTTTGTATTTGTGTGCTAAATGTTTCCTGATAAATATAAAGTATTTTGTAACTTGTAGTTGTGGTGGTCACTCCATTGAGATACAAGGAAAATGTATCTTTCTTTTTTTTACAGACAAAAGGAGTTATTTGTTTGCAGATTTAGAGCGTATTACCCAAGAAGAAATATTGACTATTATAGAGGGCATTCAATCTGATGTGGTCTCAGATATTGATGACTGCTCTGATGGCGATGACAAAACAGATTTTTTAACAAGAAATCTTGATAAACGTGCTTTTGATATAGAGTCTTTGCTAGTTTTCTTGGAAAAAAACGTTTTAGAAGAAAACCAAATGGAGAACGTGTCAGAGGCAAGACAAATTGAATCAGACGAAAGTGACGATGACATTCCGTTGGATATACGAAAAAGAAAATATTTTCTTTCAAATACAATTTGGACTAGAAACTATTAAAACTGCATTTCTCAGAAAAAAAAGTTTTATTGAAAAATTAGGTCCCAATATACTAGACAATATAGATTGCTCGACGGATGTGTTTCTTCAACTCTTTACAAAAGAACTTATTGATTATATTGTCTTTTAAACCAATTTATATGCTGTTCAAAACGGCGGTGGTGACAAAAATCGGTTTACACAAACCAACGTAGAGGAGGGTATTTTTGGCAATAAATTTATTAATTGAAATAAAGTTTCTTCCCAGCCTAAGAGACTACTGGTCTTCCAGGGCCTATATTAGTTCTTGTATGCCAAGAGATCGGTTTGTGTGGCTGCTAAAAAATTTACAATTGAACGATAATTTTCTTCAATCTAAAAGAAATGAAGCAAACTATGACAAACTATATAAACTTATTACATCATCTGTCAGAAATGTTTTTTGCTTGTTATAATCTCACAGAAAATCAGGCAATCGATGAATCAATGATACAATTCACAGGACGTAGTTCTTTGAGACAATATTGACCAATGAAGCCCATAAAAAAAAGCTATAAGGTATGGATCAGAGCAGACGAATCTGGATTTGTATGTCAGTTTGACATATAAATAGGAAAAGTTGCTGATACGATGGAAAAAATTTAGGATCTCGAGTTGTAAAGGATCTTACGCGTAAATTGGTTGTAAAAAGCCCAAAAACTTTATTTCAATAATTTTTTCAATTATATGGAACTAACGAAAAGCCTTCGTGAAGAATTTATTTATGCATGCGGAACAGTAAGGAAGGGAAGAAAGAATATAGATATACAAACGGATAATCAATTAGCAAGAGGGGAGTCAGATTGGCAAGTTAGCAAATATGATACTGTTTTTATGAAGTGTAAAGTTGGAAAGGACGTTTTGTTTCTAAGCATCATAACCCCGAACATAATGCGACACTTTCTAGAAAGCAAAAAGATGGCACTATAAAAGAAATTAATTGTCCGACACTAGTCAAGGACTACAATGCAAACATGGGATTTGTTGACAAAATGAATATGCTAAAGTCGATTTATGAAATTGACAGAAAATCGAAGAAATACTGGCACCGAATCTTTTCGTATTTTGTAGATATGTCGCTAGTGAACGCCTTTATTATTTTCAAAAGTAGATCCGATGCAAAATCGCTAACGCTGAAGATGTTTAGGTTGGCAGTCATAAACGAACTCATTGGCGCCGATCCTGACTTACCTAAAAGAGGACGTAAAAAACTAATAGTACCACTTCAAGCGTACGGTGCCGTTAGGGGTCCGATTTAGTAAATGTGCACATATGCCAATTCATATGAAGCCAAGAAGATGTGCCTTTTGCAGTAGCCGAAAAGAACCTCACAAGTCTTCCAGAAGCTGTGCCTCGATAACAGAAAAAAATGTTTCTCTTTGTATTATTCAAAATAAAGTATTACTTTTGCAGTGTTGTCTAGTCGTCAGAAATGTTCAGAAATTTAAAAAGTTTTTAAATTGTAAGGTTATGTATTTGTTTGTTATGTTACTAGAAACAAATAATTTTAAATGTATATAACCAATGCAAAATATTAAATTCCTTTATGCACAAAATTAACTTCTCAACTTCAAGCTGTAAACATATTGCAAGTCGTGGAAAATAAAACTGTAAAGTAGTATATTGAAGATGGATCAAAAATGGTCCAGAATTAGCACAGAAAATATCTCAAACTAATTTCATTTCACCAAGAAAGTTATTTAATAGAACTACATTTAAGATATAAACCACAACACCCCATACAATTAAAGAGATCATTGAAAAAGTGAAAACTACAACGGCCAGTGGAGGAGTCATAATATCAGTAAATATCAGTTTGAAATTGCTAAAGTATTTGAATACAAGAAGGACATTGTTAAAATATCTAAGTAGGTACTTAGTAAATCTCACTTTCCGTAACGGTTCTGTATCCTAAATATTTAAGATAGTCAGAAATGCTTAAAAAATAGACTGATATCGCTGCTTCTTTTCAACTCTATGGTTATTGAAACGTGCATGAACAATCGATTTATCATTTAAACGTTAAGATTCTCCATCCTACCAGTTTTAAAAGACATTTGAAAAATATTAGGCGGCGATGACCAATTAATTTCTTTGCCAAATGATGACGTAGCTGTGTTATTCTAATTGTAATCGGACCCTAGTACTTTGACGCAAGACCAACGTAATTGATGACGTACAACGGGATTTGCATTAAAACTACTATATTCATTTTCTTATGACTAATAGGATAGGCATAGGCCAACAGGCTACATGTACATACTGTAGGCAACTTTGGATGAAGATATCGTAGTTTTTTCATTAAGGTCGTTGTCGATACGGATGTGTTACTTTTTTGAACAAATCTTAAGACAGTTTTTTTCTGTAAGTAATAATAGGATAACTTCTTATTTTGCGTAAACTGATGTATATGCCTTTGAGAAATTACTTTGGTGGCAAAATCTTGAAAGAGCCAAAAATTACACATATGTTTGCTTTTTTAAATAACTACCCAATAATTGGTACTCCTAAGACTTTGATAAATTATAAAAATAAACAAAAAATATATTTCAACATTATAAATATATTTAAAAGTAAAATCGAAGGCTATGAAATTAACAGTTTAATCCTATTGTCACAATATTAAAGAGAATTTTTATTTTCTTTATGAGGTATCAAACACGAATTATTGGCATTCCTATTTTTGACTCAGAAGTAATACCTTATAAAAGCAAATAATAAATTTGTATTATTATTTTTTATAAACCTATTTTTTTATATGTGTTTCCCACACGTATCTAAATCGCGGCCCCGTTTTTATTAAAAAAATTATTCTTGACCCCCATTTCCCCCAAACCGAAATAGCGACAAAAATAGCGTGTCTAGTTTACAAGTAACTGATGCTTTCACAAATTTTATTTAAGTTTAAATTAAATGCATTAAAAAAGTTTGACAATTATTTTAATAATTGCGATCTGCCCTACTAGTAACTAATAATACTTCTGCCAAACTAACATTTACAATAAAAACAAATTAAAAAGTCGACTGCACATTGTATACCGCGACATATTTGATTGTGTCTACATCGCAATATTTTTTCATGATATTCGCGAAAGCGCTACTCCTTACTTCGATACTAGATGGCACTCTGGAACGTTCTCGTAGCTTCGGTTTATTTTGCTTATAAAGACAAGATAGAAGGAGGCAAATTTAAATAGAAAACATCCAGATAAGCAAGATAAACCCGTAAAATTTTTTCAAAGCTATATGTCCTTCACAAACAGCAATATATTTTTTCATTGGCAACCACTACTAATAAAAAGGCATTATTAGCAAGTTATAAAGATACTTATCGCGTTGCCAAAACTAGTAACCTGTATAGAATTGTTACAAATCTAATTCTATCGGCAACTCTTGAAATAGTACACATATTATTTGGTGAAAAAGAGAACGCGAAGTTAAAACAATACATCTGTCAAATAATAATAATCAATGAAGAATTAGTGATATAACATAAGATATTTAAGCTGAAGTTATGGAAAATCTTAATAAATGCCCGTATTTCTCTTTTCAAATGGACGAATCCATAGATATATCTAACTGTTGCCTTTGTCAGATATCATGCAAATACTGACATTCAAGAAGATATTTTAATTTGTTCCTATTGATATTGACTGTAGACACCCCCAACTTTTTGGTCAAATGGAAGGATAGGTTGATTAATTTTTGTAATGTTTAAGCTGTTTTAAGTACAACACTTAGAAATACAATTACATTTTCTTTTTGTTAATTTCACTAAGAAATGTTTTGGAAAATACAGGCGACGTTTTTAGTTTAAATCTCAGCCAGAATAATAACTCCACCAGAGGATGTAAATCACAATTTTTTATTTTATTATTGACTGCTTTAAGGCATATTTCTTTATAAGCTATTTCAATTAATGTCTATTAAGTATTTTTAATAAATATTTACAGACTTTTAGAAATTTTCTTTTCATACCGTATAATTTCTATTATTTATCTTGCACATCACTTCATTACAAACAAAAAAATAATTAGTAATTAGTTACTCCAATCTAGTTTATCACACACTAGTGATGTCAGTTTCTCACAGTCATCGGGTTATGCAGTGCTTTCCTAGTTAACTTCAACGACCTTCAACAATTACTTCACATACTGTAGAAAATTAAATTAATTACTCAAAAGTTATTTAATTGTTTCTAACGAGTATCGTTTTATTAAGAGGAACTGGGCAATTTATTATATTTATTAATATATTATATAAAAATTAGATGTGTGTGAGGGGAAGGTTTGACATTAGATGTAATCCATTTGCCACAGACTTTTAATAGAATAAAAATTTAAAGTTTAAATTTCCAATTGAATATTATTCATAAATCCAACCAAAGCATCCAATATGATCTTGTTACTAGTTTTGGCAACGCGATAAGTATCTTTATAACTTGCTAATAATGCCTTTTTATTAGTAGTGGTTGCCAATGAAAAAATATATTGCTGTTTGTGAAGGACATATAGGTTTGAAAAAATTTTACGGGTTAATCTTGCTTATCTGGATGTTTTCTATTTAAATTTTCCTCCTTCTATCTTGTCTTTATAAGCAAAATAAACCGAAGCTACGAGAACGTTCCAGGGTGCCATCTAGTATCGAAGTAAGGAGTAGCGCTTTCGCGAATATCATGAAAAAATATTGCGATGTAGACACAATCAAAGATGTCGCGGTATACAATGTGCAGTTGACTTTTTAATTTGTTTTTATTGTAAATGGTAGTTTGGCAGAAGTAGTAGTAGGGCAGATCGCAATTATTAAAATAATTGTCAAACTTTTTTAATGCATTTAATTTAAACTTAAATAAAATTTGTGAAAGCATCAGTTA